AAGACAAATACCAAAAGTGAATTGGGCTTAAAAATACAAATAATAGAACTTGGGTTTAAAGATAAATGGGAGTAAACAAATGGACCTAAAGATAAAAACCCCTTATTTATAATACTATTAGGTCCCTGGAGTTATTTAGAATGCTATTAGGTCTCCAAATTATTTTTCAAACCCTAAAATACAATAATTTAGTATCTATTATGAGAATAGTCCATAAAACTATAAAGCACAATACTACAATTAATTCTTTTCAAATCATTTTGCAGCAACAAACAAACTCACTAAGCTGTGAAACATCCATGCCACCACAAGTCAGTCTCCCCTCCCGTCCCCTCCCCTCGCCTCATATCGGAACCCCTCCCAATAACTTTAGCCAATTATCAGATAACCCTTCATAACTTTCAAGATATCCCCTAAAAACATGAGCTGCAATTTTCATTGGAAAAAATATCCCGCTACATAATTTTGTTGGATTTAATCTAATAAATCTATTTGTGGGCACATATGATTAATCAATGTGTATTGCTATTCTTCAGGATAACCCACTAAAGTGATCAATCAAGTTGGGTTAATGGGTATTTAAATAAGTCATGGGGTTATATGTGCAGATACCAGGTTGTAATTGTGATTTGTTGAGGGGCCAAATTATAAAAGTACAACATCTATAAATAAGGGGTTATGGTCTCTAATCTGAGGTTACATTCTCTAATTCTCTTCACCCCATCTAAAGGAGAAATTCGGCTATAGAGAAACCCTAAGGTTAGAAGATCCAAAACCCATCTCAGGTTTCATCTATGGATTCAGGTATAAGCTTCCGCTCTTTATGATTATTGTTAATCTCTTCGAATTAATCAATGGCTTTATGGTTTTAGATCTCAAGTTTTTTTATTAGATCTAACAAATTTCACTCACTCGTGTGAAAGATTATGGTTAACACTGTTACAGGAGCTTTCTGATAAAATTTCAAAGTTAAAGGGAACTTTCTGATAACCTCCAAACTTAAACGAGCTTTATCTGATATTTTGAAAGTTTTGGGGGTTCATATAAAAATCTGCCAAAGCTATGGGGGTTTTTCTGATATGCATCCAGGAAACCCTTTATTTACTTGTTCTATCAGAGGTTCACACAGTGATTGATCGAGTCTGGAAGTAAATAAAGGCGAGGGATCCTTCTGAGCCTTAAAAGTAGGGGTGAGCACGGTTCGGTTCAAACCGAAAAAACCGACCGAACCGATCCGAACCGATCCGGAAAAAGCGGTTTTATGAGTAAGGCGGTTCGGGTCGGGTTGACAATTTTTTAAACCGACCCGAACCGAACCAACCGGATATATTCGTGCCTTTGATTTGTGAGTTTATTGATGTGTTCGATCACCATGAATAGCAGTTGCAGGGAATTGATTCATACATAACCAATGTTCTAATGAGTCGGCTTCTTTTTTTGTCTCCACAAAGACCAAAGTCAAAGCTTGCTACACAAAGACAAAGCAAGTCCGTTACTAAAAAATTACAACGTCAGAGTCTAGTATTTAATCCAAAAGGACAAGTTACTTCACTTAAAAACAGTATACATACATGAGCAAGAATAATAAATTGAAGTGAAGTTAAAAAACAAATACATGCTGGCATAGGGTAGTAATAATATATAAAAGATAAATTGAAGTGAAGTTATACTTGATGAAGTTAGAACCGAACAACCGAACCGAACCGCACCGAACCGATTTGTAATGGTTCGGTTCGGTTTTGAATTGTAGGTGGTTCGGTTCGGTTCGGTTGTTCAAATTTTAATAAAAACCGACCCGAACCGTGCTCACCCCTACTTAAAAGTATATTTTCTCCACTCTATACGTGAGAAGTCGCCACAAGTCTTCCACGTATCCTTTTGCTCTCTCTGTCTGTCCCTCTCTCTCTCTCTCTCTCTGTTTGCTATAAGTAGTATTAATCATCCGCTTTGCTCTCAAAATTAGCATTCCACAAAAGAAAACAGAGACCAGCCATCTTGACAAAAGACCCGGCTCTTTCTTTTCTCTCCCAAATTTTGAGGAATTCGAGGTGGGTTTCTCTTCATCATCTTTTCGATTGCTTTTGTTTTTGTTTTTTGATTTTTTTATTATTAATAGTTTCATGATTTCACCCATAATTGGAGACTAATTTTACCTCTTTAGCGGAAACAGGGGTTCGAAGTGTTATTATTTGTTGCTAAGTTATACATTTTTAGGCTTCCTTCTAGTTTTAAGAGTCCCTTTAATTCCAAGGTTTTGCTTTATTAGAAATGACCTTTTGATGATCGATACTCAACTAAAAAGTATGATGATTGAAATGTGCGTTTGAGGTTTTAATTCAAAACTCTATCCACTTAAAAGTTTTGCTATTTTGCAGATTTCTTGATTGTTGGATTGGCAATTTTTATAGTTAAGAGGTTAAAAAAAAAGGTGCTCAAAGGTTATATGTTTTTTCTTCTTATATATTTTAAACTTTCCATTTGGAGGAATATATATATATATATATATAATAAAAAAACATTTTTTAAAGAATATATGTTTTGTTATAAGTTTGCCACCTTCTATTATGGTCAATTTAAAAAAAAAAAATCCAGGGTCTCCTCAGTTGAGTCTTCTCTGTACGCATTTTAAATTAAGTTGACGTGATTGATCTCTTTATTCTTTCTTTCTTATCTTTGCTTTACCAATTTTAGTTCTTCCTTTTGCCTTTCTAGTCTATGTCATTACCTGTCCAAAAAGGTAAGCAATGAACTTAATTACTTTCTCCACATGACACAGAGCCCCCCTGCTATTTCCTTAGCCCTACCTCTTATTTCAAGCGTCCTGGTTTGTTCCTTTCTTCATATTCAAGTACTAAAGTTTAATTATAAACTGACCTGTCGAGACTCTAGCTGCCTTCTTCTAAAGTCTAAAGTCTAAAGTCTTTTGTTTGAAGTGCCTTTTCTCTATTGATGAAAACATAAATAATACAAACACATGAACTTTAGTTCTGACTAGATTCTCCCTCCCATTTAGGACTAGCATCCAACGTAGTCTAACACGATCAATTCACATTACATAAGCTTTTGTTTTGTATTATAATAAACGTTTTGATCACCTCTAGATTTTCATGTTCCCTGCTGTTTTAGTTGAATGTAGGAGTTGTTAGACCAACAAAATATAAACATTTTGCTTTAATAAATAAAACCCTAATCAATCTTAAGATTGTTCGTGTCAAGCTATTGAGATAGTTGAGAAGATGCAGAACCATAGCTGAATCTACGGAGTAGGATGTGAATCTTGAGTTTTGAGATGTAGATCTTTCAAACCCTAATCCTTCTGAAGATGGAAAATCAGAAAGAGATTCTACATAGAGATTTGGGGAACCACAACCCTATTTATAATTAATATCAATTATTCATAATTATCAATTCAGCCCATCATAGAATTAGTAATTATATTTTGGTCTCTACACATTGAAGGCTCATAGTTTAATTATGCATTAAAAGCCCAAACCCTAAATTAGATCAATTTAATGGGCTAACCTTAATTGATAGCACATAATACATATTTATTTATAATCCAACAGGAGTAGCAATGGATAACCTGGAATACAAGGGGAGTGTTCTTCGCTTTAGGAAGTGTGTTTTCGATCTCCTTTCCATGGAGGAAGATATAGTTGATGATGATGATTGTGATGACGAATGGTGGCATTTAATCGAAAGAGATCTTCGTCTCAAATCGACTTTCTTGTATTGTGATATCAATAAGGTCATAGCAAATGCTCATGAGGAACACAAGGAGGCTTTCACTTGCCTTGCCAACAAGTTGTTCTACTACATCGGAGAAGTAAGCTTGCATAAGTATTGCTTTTCTTTCTCATAGTTCTCTTGCATCCTATGTATATTATGCATTTCTTAGTGGATGACATTATAAGCATTGTGAATTATATAGTCAATATGCACTTTATACTCACTTTGTGAACCTAGTGTATAGTAGTACATGATAACTCTATGACATGAATACAAATCCCTCCAAAAAAAATTAAAGAAAAAGAAAAGCTTATAGAAATTGAATGGTCCCTAAAAAGATATGAACTTCATTTAGTTTATTGGAAAATTATTTCTGAAATCTTGTCTACTTGAGAACTGATGGGCCAATAGGAGAATTAATACACTCCTCCTAAGTCCCTTCTGTATTGCATTAGTTTAGGGATAGAAATTTATTGGTCCATCAATTATCCAGTCAACGATATCCATTGGATAGAGCTTCTCAATCACCAAGCATGAGGCTTTGACATTGACCCCATGGTCAATGTAAAACCATAATTATAAAAGCAAGCAATTGTATAGCGATGCTTGTTTGCTTACTCTCCAAGCAATTACTCTTTGGTCTACAAAGAAAAGACTTGGTCAGGATTGGTTTTGGAGGACTACATGACCAGTCAACTTGTAACTATTGCGCATGTCAACTTCAAAACTTTCTGGGTGTCAATTTTATCCCATATATACATGAATAATATAGTAGTTAGTAAACAATCTTCGTATCTCTTAGTTGGATTAGTATAATTTATTTGATATGTTCAACATATTGGCAGCTAGAAGACAATGCGGTGAAGAGCCGAAGCCTGTCAGTAACTCACGACTGTTACCATGACGTCGTTCTTCTATTGCATGAAGTAATGGCTACTGTCATCCCTCCTTGAGCAAAGAGAAGCGCTGCAAGATTTTATACAAATAAAAAAGAATCGAAGAGTAAATGCTTTCTGAATCGTTGGTTGCTTGTTATTAGTAGGAGAATCAGAGATTAAAGTGAGAAGAATTTCAGATACAGTCGTTTTCTGTACATCTCTTTTTAGCGCATCCCGCATCCCTAGTTTTGAGTACGAAGAGATGCATACCGTAACATGAGTATATACGGTCATACATATACTAACGTAAATACTCTGGTTGTTATGAAAATCTTTGTATCCAAATATATACTCAGTTCCACAAATAAGATAAGTTTCCATGTTATGGAACAGTTCAAACAAAATTCCCAGGAGAATACTTTACTGATCAACAAATCCCAGGCTTTTCCAGGTTATATACAGCAATAATCCGCTATTATAACCCACCTGAAACGTTCTCACTTCTCAATCAAGCAGCAAAAGAATAAAATGTGGACAGAGAAGACTACAACCAATTCGAAAATCAAGCCTGGAAGATGATTTTATTACCTGAATCTCAAGATTAATATGTACTATGTTTCTTTTATATTTTCAAAAACAGGATTTTTTTTTTTTTTTTTTTTTACATTGCTCTCCTCTGGAAAAGATCTTGGACATTCTGGCACAACATTTTACGGGAGTAGGCTGTTGTGCTGTGCCCATCGCTCCAAATGAATGCCAGGGTCACTGAAGAAGAAAGCCTTGAAGAAATAAAAGAAAAATGAGATCTTCTGATTAGAGATCATAAATTGAGTAAACCTGTTTTGCGAGCATAAGATGGTGTAGCAATAATGCATTATGAAAAGAGGAAATTAGGGTTATATAAGCCTCTAGAAAAGAGTGGGGAAACACATAATTACAATGCCATCATGATTTGCATTAGAATGAAACATGATAGTTTCTATTTCGTACCATTGTTTTGGCACCGCTAATAAAAAAGATTACAGGAGTGTGAGAGACAGCTTTAACCTACAACTTTGGTTCGAGAATCAAATAAAAACAAAATAAATACTAGCAGTAGAAGTTAAGAATTCGGACAAAATATGCTCATTATCACACTCGAAATAAATCCCGTGAAAATAAGTGAGCTCATTTATCTATAAAGAATAGGTTTTCTGTCGAATTTATTGAAAATACCATATTGTAATAATGAACACTAAGATCCTGAATTTTGCGGTTTTCTAGCTACATCACAGAACAGGCAAAAACTTACCTGATTTTGACAGGATAAAATAGTACCAAGAAGTTCCTCATTTACCGACACAGGCAGAGGAGGCATCCGACTCATTATCCAAGGCATATTGCTCATGCTGTATAAAATTTAAATTTAAATAAATACTTAGATTTTTCAAGGGGTTGTTTTAAAAAAATTTGAATGGCACCATACTTATTTAGGATGGTTGTGGTGTTGTTTCTCGTGTGGCAGAAGAGTTCAATGTTTTCTTGTACCTGCATTTGATCAGGTTCAAAAGTAATCAAAATCCCTGCTTTTTCTTGAGATGCATAACAAAGCAAGAACAATAAAATACAAATAAACTTTGGCATTTAAGCTTCTGTACGGAAAAAAGTAATACGGGTTTGCACCCAATATATTTTCTTGATGGAACGTCCTAAAAAGTATAATAGTGTAACACATAGATAATATATTATAATGGATAGTATAGTATTCACATAAAATGTAGAAGCTGCAAAAACGTCAACCATTAATATTAAACTGACGAAAGCTTCAATAACCCAAGGTTATGGTTTGCTTGTTCTGAGCATGTCTGATGCATTGCATAATTTAATTATATAAGCTGACTTCATTTCCTAAGGTGAAACAAAAAAGGAAAAAAATTGTGCACACCTTATATGTTGCAAGATTAGTAGAAATCTGATGAAGCATTCGATTGTTTTCATCCATGAGCTGCTGAGTTGTATCATCCACAGCTGGAACTGTAAATAGAAGTAGGAATTCAAACATGCGATAAGCAAATGAAGAACAAAGGAACTGATTAAACTGAATCAACAAGAACTACCATAACATTAAAAGAAAAACTGGTCCTTCAAAGGAGGAGAACAAAAAGTAGGGTACAAATGCAAAAATATTCATATGAATGCAACATGACATCATTGCTTAGCCACAAAAACAGTGTAGTATTCAGAGCCAACACAATCCTGAGTCAAGACAGCAGTTATCCAACATCAAGAATGCTTCACATCTACATATACATATTATCTATTAATATCCATGTATGTCTCACATTTTTATACTAGCTTGAGAATGAATTTGTATGCAAAAAAGTGTCTGACATAATAACCATTTCAAAAGAAGGATATCATACACTTGATTTTATGCCCATTTACCAGTATGCACATTTTAAAGATGGCAATTAAGTCTCAAAAAAGGAAGTCTGCAGCATGCTAGAAACTTGTTTATTAATACATCTATAAACAGTACATACAAGAATTTAGCACACCACCCTCATAAGCATCAAAATTTTTGCTACATTTCCAGGCTCACTTGATAAATGTATTTACTTTCACCTGAAACTTTTTTGGGTTAATTTCACAAACCCCCTGAACTTTTGGCAGACCCCCTATGTACTTTTTTTTATTACAGAACTCCCTAAATTTTGAGTGTCTCACAAAACCACCCTGAACTTTAAACTTTTCTCACCGAAGCCTTTCCGGTAATTTGCGAATAACTAAAATTTCCTTGAGAGAAAGACAATTTAGCTACTTGAAGAAAATCTCAATCTGTGTAAGGTAATTCACGTTTTTTTTCAAAGCTGATATCTTGCTAAAACATTCGGTTTGATGTGGTTGACCAACCTTCACATGAAAATAGATCGTTCTGGTTCACTTGATGCATCATAGGAGAATAAGATGCAGCTGTGCTGGGGTTGACCATATATCTGTTTCCGCTTGAGCAAGAATCCACCATCTTTTCCTTAAAAAGAACAAGCATATCATGAAGAAACCAGATTGTCATTCTTTAATTCTAGGATGGATCAACAATTAGAAGCCAATTTTATGACTGTTTGAATTAAAAGGGAAGCTAAAATCTGATGTATCATAATATAGAGAAGTCGACAATACCTTACTACTGTAGATGCTTTTTCCTACATATTGCTCTCCTAATTTACGTCGCTTCCCATTTTCCTGATTTCATAGCAAATAGAAACATGTCAGAAGCATGCATACAATTTTGAATTTAAAAAGGCAAAAAACTTGATGTCATAAAAAATGTCAACCTAACAGATATTCTTATGACACCTAGACAAGCAAAATTTTGATGTGCAACACTTTCATGATTCATAACAAAATAATTTTGGATTTGAAAATCTTAATTCTTCTTGATATATACCAAACTAATTGCAAAATAGAGTTTTCCATACATAAGCCTCACAAGAAACCCAACAATCCGGTTTCTCTTTTTTGTAAAGAAAAAAAACTAATTTAGAAGAAGAGATGAGATTATACTTAATGGGGCAAAGAGGACAGAGGCAGACTTGAGGAACTCGGCTGGAAGCAATTAAAACGGACATGATAATAGTTAACAAAGGAGATGACCCATAATAGAACAATATGGAAGTGCATGATTCAAGTAGCCAACCTAGAAATTTTGGGATAAAATCTTTTTTGTTGTTATCGAAGCCTCACGAGGACAACCCCAAGAAGTGGGAGCTAATGTTGTAACAATTGATTAAAAAAATATTGTTCTCCATAAGATGGAAAAAAATTGGATAATATAAGAGAAATGACTCACAGCGATCCATCGGCACCTCAGTGCAACATCTCTTACAGTCTTACAACGCAGCATTGAAGCTATCTTAATATACTTCATCATACCACGTTGACTAGCATATCTGAAAATATCAAATAAAAACAATGTCAGGGAAGTTAGGGGGAAAACAAAGAGAAAATGGCTCACTTAGAAGAATCAAAGCTGCAGTAAAAAAATAGCAAACTGCTGAGTGCTGACAGAAACACCTCATGTTACTATATGAAAATGAAGTCATTGTATGTTATCTGCCTTAATCATGAGATGATGCCAACACAGGATAAATAGCATTGAGAAACAACACCTAAAGCTATCAGCCAGATGTCTCAAGCCAGCTCGACAAAGTGTAAACAAGAACTAGAAAATTAAACAAAATTAGAAGGATCTCAGGTTCTGGACTTCTCAGACTTAATATATCAGTACGAGAGATTCATAAAATGTCCATCTTAGAATCTATATCAGTAAAACTATCTTGTGAGGTGCCCCTTTATTGCATAAGTTTTACACTAGATAGCAACCAAATCACAAAGTATCAATACACAGTTGAAAATTTTCATCAGAGAAAAAAATGTCAAGCAAACCTTTATCGTTCTCTTTTTCTTCTTTTTGGAGCTTTTCTCAACTTCAAGTTGTTCAGAAAGAAATACTGAAATACCAATTCTCCATAATGCCAAAGTCTATGAATGAAATGCAGACCACTATTATTTCAACAAGCAACATGGAAAAGAAGACACGTTAAGGTTCTGCTACATGGCTGCATAAATTTAAATTAGGGTCAATTTCAAAAAATCAACCCTGAATTTTGGGAGGTATTGATAACCCCCCTGAACTTTCATTATTTTGCATACCCCCCTCCCACCCCCCGCGGGACCTATGGGGTGTCTCACAAAACCCTCCCGAACTTTAGCTTTATTAACCTAACCCCCTGCCTATAATTTGTAACTAAATGTCCATGAGTGAGAAACTCCCAAACTTTATCACATGTTTACAGCTATATGCAACATACTCCTTTTCTAAAGTTTTGAGTTTTTTTTTCTCTCAAAAAAAATTAGTTATTTACAAATTACATACGGGGGGTCGGGTGAGATAAGCTAAAGTTAGGGGGATTTTGTGAGATATCCCATAGTTCAGGGGGTTATGTGAGATAAACAAAGTTTAGGACGGTTATGTGCAACCCCCCCCCCCCCACCAAAAAAAAAGTTCAGGAGGTTTGGTGAAATTAACCCTTTAAATTATACAACCAATGAAATCATTTCTTACCTATCATTTGGAGTTCCAAATTTCATAATTATTAACCTTCTTAAACGTAATATCAGCTAGTGATCTATCATCAACTCAAAGAGTTGACATCATATTGAAGAAGGGGAGGAAGAGGAGATACGGAATAACACAGGGCAGAGATTTTGATTTTTCCTCCCATACAACAAGCTTGAGTAGTATTTTTGAGCATATTAACATCACCAAAGTGCACAATAGCTTGATCTCTAATCCTCAACAGTTGCTTCCATATCCAGGATTCACTAGTTCTCACATGAACGCTCCAAACACCATGTCTTCTTAGATAGTTTTGATGGATTCATTCGATCCACAAGAGGTTTTTCTTTAAATGTATCAACTGTAAAAGTTTTGAGAGATGCCCTTCATCTTTATCAAAGCCTTCTCGGCCTAGAGCCTCGCTCCGAGTTAACCCCAATTTAATGGGGAAGAGAGATGGATGAAGACACAAAATAATAGTAGTCAATCAGATTAACCCCAATTAGACATGTATATACTGCGGCAAAACTCCATCCCTTAACATTTCACTCATTTTGTTATTTGCTTCCTTATGACATTATCATAATGATCAGTCAGCACAAACAATTCAACATAAATATAACAACACATGCAGAAGATGTCGATGAAGAGCATACTCCGCAAGGTCCCGTCCTTCCGTGTATCGTCCACCCCAGCAACCACACGGCACGAAACCACATAGCCGAAAGAAACACAACTAAAATTTTGCGATCCAATTCATTTCATTACATGCTTCATCTACTTTACTACGACCCCAATTTCCATCACAACAACAAGGAATACTGATATAATATATATGCGAAAGAAAACACGTACTTAATGAGTCCCTGCTTCAACGCATTCTGCTCCTCAACCGTCCACTCCGGCGACAACCCACAATCCGGCCTGACTCCGGCCACCGGTTCAATCTGTCTGCTGCTCGGAGAAGGCGCAAACTGAGAAGAACCGCCGCTCACCAAGCCAGGGTTTCCCACCCAAGGGCAGACCAGAACTGCTTCCGGCTTGCGCCACAATTCCCCGTATTTACCGAAACCTGCCATCGGGCTGGCACAAGCCACTGGCTGAAAGGAAAGCATCTCCTTGTTCTGCAGTGTTGCGCCATGATCCCTCGTTGAAAACCCATGCAGGGGATCAGCTGGCCATCTCCCAACGAAACCCTAAATTTCTCGAAATTTACACTCAGAACCACCCATGGATCTCTCTCCGGCTGCGGGAAGGTAGTGGGGCATCCCAACGAAGGCATTTTTATGTCCAGAACCCCATTAAAAGATCCGATCCTTTACGCGAATCTCTTATGGGATTGGATAAGATTGATTTTTTATCTTTCTTTATTATCTTTTTTTTTCTTTTTTCATTCCTCTCTTTTTTATTTGTTTGTTCTTTTGCTGCGATTGGCTGGCTTATTAGTAGTGCCCATCCCCTTCAACTTTCCACGAGCGTCCTCCTTTTTCGTAACTCTCTTTTAAGAGTGCCCGTGCGTTTAGTGTTTATTACAAAAATACCAGTTCGCGCAACAGTGGATGCGTTGAGCGTTAATCAAGCTTTAATGGAAGGCTATATATACAACAAGCGTCTGTTCCTTCGTCAACTTGATAATAACAATATATTTTCTCCTTTCCTTTGTATTGTTTTGGGGTCAAAACTTACTGCGTTCTACTTCAAATCAGGGGGCCTTGGTTTTTTTTCCCCTAGTTATGAGGCAAAATTTGGCTAGGCCGGCATCAGCTTAGACAACAATTTTATTTACCAAACTAAGATTGAGTTATTGAATTGCAGCTTATCCTTGATAAAACTGTTTTAGCACTTCGCCAAATAGCCCGATAGTAGCAATTGCGACGGGTTGGCCCACAATCTGCCGCTGAGCCAATCCTTTTTCGAGCCAGATTTGACAGAGTTGTTAACATGTGAATCGGCGTTGACCCGGTCGATCTTAAAGTGGTAGTATACGGTCTATTTCTAAATCCCAAGGCTGAGCACGAACCCAAACGTTAGTTCGCGACCAGACGCCGAGCCCTGAACTGTGACACGCCACTGTCACCCCACATTGACATTTACTCAATTATGTGCATGTTTCAAGTCGATCTCAAGAAGAGTAACAAAATCTCACAATCTAGAGTGCAATAATTTCATCTAAATCAAGTTTTAAAAATGAATCAAAAGACCAGAAAAATGTTAACAAAGCTATGGTCAAGTTAGGTGGTTGTTTTTGTATCCCCAGTTATGAGCAAAATTGGGCTAGCGGGCAATCAGTTTAGACAACAATTTACTTTGCCAAACTAGGATGTGAGTTATGAATTGAGCTTATCCTTACTAAAATGTTTTAGCCACTTCGCCAAAATAGCCCGATAGTACAATTGGACGGGTTCGTCCACAATCGCGCGAGCCCATATCTTTTCGCAGCCACATTTGACCAAGACTTGTAAACAATTTGAATCGGGTTTGACCCGGTTCGATCTTTAAGTCCTTCCCACTAGTATACGGTCTATTTTCCTAAATTCCCAAGGCACTCGAGCACGACTAGGCCCAGACGCCGAGGTTCGGACCAGACCGAGCCGCTGTAACCTGAACGCGACTCAAACGCCCCGCATTGGCATTACTCAACATGTGCAGTGTTTTTCAAGTCATCCTCAATCAGAGTAACAAAATCTTCAGCCAATAGGTCAAAATTCATCTAAAAGTCAAAGTTTTAAAAATGGAATCAAGAAACCCAGAAAAGAAATGTAACAACTCTGGTCAATGTAGGGGCGTTGCGTTTTTTTTCCCCTAGTTATGAGGCAAAATTGGGCTAGGCGGCTATCAGCTTAGACAACAATTTTATTTACCAAACTAAGATTGAGTTATTGAATTGAGCTTATCCTTGATAAAACTGTTTTAGCACTTCGCCAAATAGCCCGATAGTAGCAATTGGACGGGGTTGGCCCACAATCTGCGCTGAGCCAATCCTTTTTCGAGCCAGATTTGACCAGAGTTGTTAACATTTGAATCGGGTTTGACCCGGTTCGATCTTAAAGTGGGTAGTATACGGGTCTATTTCTAAATCCCAAGCCTGAGCACGAACCCAACGCAGTTCGGACCAGACCCGAGCCCTGAACTTGACACGCACTTCACCCCCGCATTGACATTACTCAATATGTGCATGTTTTTCAAGTCATCCTCAAAGAGTAACAAAATCTCAGCCAATAGGTCAAAATTCATCTAAGTCAAGTTTTAAAAAGGAATCAAAAGACCAGAAAAATGTTAACAACTCTCGTCAAGTAGGGGGGTTGGTTTTTTATCCCCTAGTTATGAGGCAAAATTGGGCTAGGCGGCAATCAGTTTAGACAACAATTTTATTTGCCAAACTAGGATTGAGTTATTGAATTGAGCTTATCCTTACTAAAACTGTTTTAGCACTTCGCCAAATAGCCCGATAGTGGCAATTGGACGGGGTTGGCCCACAATCTGCGCTGAGCCAATCCTTTTTCGAGCCAGATTTGACCAGAGTTGTTAACATGTGAATCGGGTTTGACCCGGTTCGATCTTAAAGTGGGTAGTATACGGGTCTATTTCTAAATCCCAAGCCTGAGCACGAACCCAACGTAGTTCGGACCAGACCCGAGCCCTGAACTTGACACGCACTTCACCCCCACATTGACATTACTCAATATGTGCATGTTTTTCAAGTCATCCTCAAAGAGTAACAAAATCTCAGCCAATAGGTCAAAATTCATCTAAATCAAGTTTTAAAAATGAATCAAAAGACCAGAAAAATGTTAACAACTATGGTCAAGTAGGGGGGTTGGTTTTTTATCCCCCAGTTATGAGGCAAAATTGGGCTAGGCGGCAATCAGTTTAGACAACAATTTTATTTGCCAAACTAGGATTGAGTTATTGAATTGAGCTTATCCTTACTAAAACTGTTTTAGCACTTCGCCAAATAGCCCGATAGTGGCAATTGGACGGGGTTGGCCCACAATCTGCGCTGAGCCAATCCTTTTTCGAGCCAGATTTGACCAGAGTTGTTAACATTTGAATCGGGTTTGACCCGGTTCGATCTTAAAGTGGGTAGTATACGGGTCTATTTCTAAATCCCAAGCCTGAGCACGAACCCAACGCAGTTCGGACCAGACCCGAGCCCTGAACCTGACACGCACTCAACCCCCGCATTGGCATTACTCAACATGTGCATGTTTTTCAAGTCATCCTCAAAGAGTAACAAAATCTCAGCCAATAGGTCAAAATTCATCTAAGTCAAGTTTTAAAAAGGAATCAAAAGACCAGAAAAAATGTTAACAACTCTGGTCAAGTAGGGGGGTTGGTTTTTTATCCCCCAGTTATGAGGCAAAATTGGGCTAGGCGGCAATCAGTTTAGATAACAATTTTATTTGTCAAACTAGGATTGAGTTATTGAATTGAGCTTATCCTTGCTAAAACTGTTTTAGCACTTCGCCAAATAGCCCGATAGTGGCAATTGGACGGGGTTGGCCCACAATCTGCGCTGAGCCAATCCTTTTTCGAGCCAGATTTGACCAGAGTTGTTAACATTTGAATCGGGTTTGACCCGGTTCGATCTTAAAGTGGGTAGTATACGGGTCTATTTCTAAATCCCAAGCCTGAGCACGAACCCAACGCAGTTCGGACCAGACCCGAGCCCTGAACCTGACACGCACTCAACCCCCGCATTGGCATTACTCAACATGTGCATGTTTTTCAAGTCATCCTCAAAGAGTAACAAAATCTCAGCCAATAGGTCAAAATTCATCTAAATCAAGTTTTAAAAATGAATCAAAAGACCAGAAAAATGTTAACAACTCTGGTCAAGTAGGGGGTTGGTTTTTTATCCCCCAGTTATGAGGCAAAATTGGGCTAGGCGGCAATCGGTTTAGACAACAGTTTTATTTGCCAAACTAGGATTGAGTTATTGAATTGAGCTTATCCTTACTAAAACTGTTTTAGCACTTCGCCAAATAGCCCGATAGTGGCAATTGGACGGGGTTGGTCCACAATCTGCGCTGAGCCAATCCTTTTTCGAGCCAGATTTGACCAGAGTTGTTAACATTTGAATCGGGTTTGACCCGGTTCGATCTTAAAGTGGGTAGTATACGGGTCTATTTCTAAATCCCAAGCCTGAGCACGAACCCAACGCAGTTCGGACCAGACCCGAGCCCTGAACCTGACACGCACTCAACCCCCGCATTGGCATTACTCAACATGTGCATGTTTTTCAAGTCATCCTCAAAGAGTAACAAAATCTCAGCCAATAGGTCAAAATTCATCTAAGTCAAGTTTTAAAAAGGAATCAAAAGACCAGAAAAAATGTTAACAACCCTGGTCAAGTAGGGGGGTTGGTTTTTTATCCCCCAGTTATGAGGCAAAATTGGGCTAGGCGGCAATCAGTTTAGACAACAATTTTATTTGCCAAACTAGGATTGAGTTATTGAATTGAGCTTATCCTTACTAAAACTGTTTTAGCACTTCGCCAAATAGCCCGATAGTGGCAATTGGACGGGGTTGGCCCACAATCTGCGCTGAGCCAATCCTTTTTCGAGCCAGATTTGACCAGAGTTGTTAACATTTGAATCGGGTTTGACCCGGTTCGATCTTAAAGTGGGTAGTATACGGGTCTATTTCTAAATCCCAAGCCTGAGCACGAACCCAACGCAGTTCGGACCAGACCCGAGCCCTGAACCTGACACGCACTCAACCCCCGCATTGGCATTACTCAACATGTGCATGTTTTTCAAGTCATCCTCAAAGAGTAACAAAATCTCAGCCAATAGGTCAAAATTCATCTAAGTCAAGTTTTAAAAAGGAATCAAAAGACCAGAAAAATGTTAACAACTCTTATTTTAGCACCTTCCCCGGCAACGGCGCCAAAAACTTGATGCGGCATAATTATGTACCAAAATTGCAAGTGCACAATTTATCAAGTTATAGTATAAAAAGATATCGATCCCACGAAGAAGGTGATTTTAAGAGATTATTAAACTTGGTTCTTATATTTTGTGCGTGACAATTAGGAATAAAGAATAAGTGTGATTGTATGAGTGGTTGTTTTGATTTATATGCAAGAGGTAATAAATTGAATTTTAGAGGAGAGAAGGAAGAATTAAAGAATAAATGAAATCACAAGGCAAGAAATATGAATTAATAAAATCAAGAAATAAAACCAAAAATGAAAAGAAAATTTAAGAAAGTTAAGATGAAGGATTCAAAAGAGGTAAGAAATCTAGAATATAATCCACTAACCAATTTCAATTACAAAATATAAACTATTCTCTTTTTATCATATTTCAACTTAGATTTAT